CGTCTTAATTTCAGCCAGAAGAAAGAATAAAGCAATTGCTACTCTCATTGTCAACAATATCTCTACTGCACACTTTTCCAACAGACCGTAATCTTGCTGCTATTTATTATTTTCCCCATTTTTCCCATATATGAAATCCAGTCAATTGATGGAACCAGCATGCTACTTGGACATAATTAAATCATAAAATAAGTTACAGTATGAGCATCACACTGCAAGGAAAGTGAGAGATCAAAGTTACAAGTTCCACCAACCTTCTTCAAGAACCCAGCACCAAATGCTCTGGTCACCTTAAGTTGGCCTTTCACTCGATCATTTAGAATAGCTTGACTGTCATCCGGATGTTCAGCTTTTATCCTTAAAATTTCCTGTATTAAGGAAATCATCAAGCAAGATTTTTAACTAATCAACTGCTAAACTAAACAAAACTTTTTTCTTTTGTTTCAATACATTTCTACTTCGGAGCAGTCAATATTTGGTTTGATTTAATAATAAGTGAACTTGTTTTCGACAGATGGAGTGGTGCAGTATTCCCATTAATAATACAAAGAAAAAAATGAGAACTAAAGAAAAAATATTTGCTGAGATTTAAATTCGCATGGAAGTTCTGTGTGCTCTTATCTTCAAATCTACCATAAGAAACTTCTATTTTCCTGAGGTTCAGCACATTCATGTATTTGCAAGACATATATGGCACCACATTCCAGTTTGGATTTCCGACACCATCGCATGGCAAGTACACAAAATGTCAGTTCAAAGAAAATTTTATCTTACAATAACAAAGGAAGTGTCTCACTTGTCTATGTGTAAAAGATCAAAAGAGTTCAGATATTTGTGCACCTTTAAGGACTAAAAATCTTTTTTCCCAGTGTGTACAAGTGCACAGTCAACTGATAAATATCTATGAGCAAATTGGAAAAATAATATCCAATAGAAAACAAATCTAAAGTTTTCAGAGGAAGTGGAAGCACACCTGTTCAACACTTGTGCTGTGATCAGTTGAAAGTTGAACTGCCCTCATCTTTAATCGGCACATTGAGATGTCCCGGTTCTTATTTATCATATTAACCTGACTGGTTTGATTATGCATTGGAGACTCCTCGGATATTCTGTCCAGCTCCATTCGCACTAGTGATTCTCTGGACCTGTTCCTATGCCTTAGATCATCCTTTGCAAAATTGGGATTAGGTTGGCGATCACTAGGCCTTTCTTGTGCCAAGATCACACGACTATCACCAAGGTTCATGACATACACATCCTGATCCTTCATTAGCATCACCAGGACGCATGATCCCATCAAAGCAAGCTCTGGATTTGTGTCACGAGACATCTCCACCATTTCCATATATGCATCTTCAGTACTTTCAAGAGCTCTAGCCATTGCTCCTAAAACAGCACCATGATCGACAACTCCAGATCTGCATCTCCTAATAGGTCCCATGGACTCCACCATTCTCTCGTCAACATAGGTATCTTCTCTGTGCCAATCATAACTCCAAGGAAATAGCTTCTTCCTTAGAGACTTCTGTTTCCGGTACATTCTTCTAATCTTTGAGCCTATCAAAGATGTCCTTGTACCGTGCCTTTGCCCTGAGACAGAAAGGCCAACTGAAGTACCTTCATTAATAGAATCCTGTCCATTCCCTCCACCTTCTCTGGAAGTAGATAGATCTCCACCCCGATGGTTTGAACTGCCTCCCTTGAGTTCAGCAACTCCCGCGAATCCTTATTATATGGATCTTTCTGGCACTCAGATAAATCCTCAATTCTGTTTTCACCTCTAGAAATGAGAAAGACCGTGTCCCTCCCATGTTTCCATCTGAAGTAGCTCATAGAGCCGCATGCTTT